AGTTTGGAAATAGATGGAAGTAGTGTTTATACAGCATTGTAAATGTACTTAATTCCATGCAATTTTATGTTTAAAAGTGCTTAAAATGGAAATCCTCAACTACATTTTACCACAATAAAAAAAAAAAAAAAATTTATAGGCCGGCCCGGTGGCGCACTGCTACAGTGCGCCGCTTGGGAAGCGTGGCAGCGCTCCCGTCGAGGGTTCGGATCCCACATGCAGACCGGCCACTCACTGGCTGAGCGAGATGCGGGAGCAACGCCGAGGGTTGCGATCCTGTTGCCGGTCCCAGTCTGGTATGGGCGCGACACTGAGGGTTGCGATCCGTTGCCGGTCACAAAAAAAGACAAAAAGGGGAAAAAAAAATGTATATATCATCCATGCATACTGGGGAATTTATAGAGCCATATGCATGCACAGGACAGGATTCCATGCTCAGAAAAGACCTGAGAACCTAAGCTTTCTCTGTGGCTGATGTATAGGCTGGTTCAAGTAGGAAGTAAAAGCTAAGGCAGAGTGGTAGACTGCCCGACTAATCATTGAAACACACAATACGTAACAAAAATATTATGCTAAGTGAAAGAAGCCTGACACAAAGAACCACATATTGTATGGTTCCATTTATATTAAACATCCAGATTAGGTAAATCCATAGAGACAAAAAGCACATTGGTGGTTGCCAGGGTCTGGGGGAGAAGGGAGTATGGAGTGACTGCTTAATGGACACAGGGTTTCCTTTTGGGGTAATAAAAACGTTGTGGAACTAGATAGAAGTGATGGTTGCACAACTAAGAACTAAGAGCCATTGAATTGTTGACTTTAAAATGGTTAATTTTATCTTGTAAATTTCACCTCAATTTTAAAAAAATCCAATACATCCTAATTATGTACAGTTAAACAACATAAGTACTTTCTCTAAAGTCAATGAAAAGGTAAGGATGAGCAGTATCACGACCATTAACTAGAAGAATTCTGGAAATGCCACCCCACTGATTTGATGAAAAATAAAGTAACCTGTACACGTCAGCAAGGGAAAAAAAAAATCAAATAAGGATAATCAATATTAGAGAAGACAAAACAAATTCTAAGATGTTTCCCAACATGACTAAGCAAGAATCAGAGTTGCAAAGATTCAACTGAACACATATCAAAAATAAGTTTTACCCAGTGGACAGATTACAGAATTTATAACTAAAAATTGATAGCATTTCAAAACACACACTTTTTTTGTTTGTTTTACTTTTTTATTTCTTTCACATGGCACTTCTTCATTGGTATTAAATGACTCGATAGTTTTGGGGATAGTTTAACACTGTGTATTGAATACTTTCACTAGAGATATTACTAGAATGCAAAAATCCACATTAGAAATTTTTGGAAAAGAAACAGTGGCACATGCTTACAAATTTGATGCAAAAAATATTATTTAGGTCGACTAATACACGATTAATTGGATAAGTAAAAGTATATACATCCAATCAAATACAATGTAGCTATTAAAAACACTAACAATCTACATTTTGTGAAAAAACATGAATCTAAACGTTATGTATTTTGTAAGCACATGAAAAGTTGCTCAACATCATACATCTTCAGAAAAATGGAAATCATAATCATCATGAGATACCACTTCACATCCACTAGTATGGCTATGAATAAAAAACTGAAAATAACAAGTGTTGGTGAAAATAGGAAGGAATGCAAACACTCAAAGATTGGCTAGTTAAATGGTACAGCCACTTTGGGAAACAGTCAATTAAACATTTTTACCACATGTTGTTACCATTCCTAGGTTTATATACAAGAGAAATCAAAGCACATCCACACAAAAGCTTGTATGCAAATGTTTACAGCAATACTATCTGTAATATTCTAAAGAGGGAAACAACCGAAATATTCATCAGCTGTTGAAGGGATAAACAAAATGTGCTACATTCACAGGGTGGAATATTATTCAGGTATAAAAAGGAATAAATAATTTTTTCCTCCAACAGATCAACCATGTTGATGTAACTTCTCTAAACCAGTTTCTGTCTGATATGTCAGCTTGAGAGCTCCCCTGCCCCCACTTGGGCATCTAAGGATGGCAGCTCTTCTTTCTGTGTTTTCATCTCAGGTTTGCTGTTGGCAGAATCCAGGCTTTCAACAGAGTGGGATGAATGTGGGTGTGGGAAGAGATGTGGGTGTGGGAAGAGATCGGTTGGGGGCCATGAATGCCACACTGTGTTGGTGTCAGACTAATCTGCTCTTGGCTTGGTTCAGTCTCTCCTGTAATAGAAACTTTCCCAGCCATGGAGATGGAATATACAAGGCCTTTTGAAAGAAAAAGATAGGCCCTGTGTTTTCCTGAGAAAGTAGTACAGTTCTAGCTGAACCAGTCCCACAAGACTATTGTGCACATAGTCTGACCTTAAAAGGCCGTGCTCCTTTCTCTGAGGAATCAATCACTATTAGACCTTGGTAAAATATCTGACTTTGTAGTCTTCCTACGTGAAGAAAGAAAAGAAAATCCTTTAAATCAAAAATTTTTAAAACAGGAACGAAGTACTACAACATGGACAAACCTTAAAAACATTTATGCTACATGAAAGAAGCAAGTCACAAAAGACCACATATATGATTGCATTTATATGAAATGTGCAGAATAAGCAAGTCTATAGCAACGACAACAACAACAAAAAAGATTAGTGGTTTCTCAGAAGTGGGGGGAAAGAAGAGAGAGTGGAGGCAGCGAAAGGGTATGAGGTGATGAAAATGTTTTAAAATTGACTTTGGTGCTGGTTGCACACACTAAAAGCCACTGAATTGTACATTTTGAATGGGTGGATTTTATGATATGTGTATAATGAAGCTGTTAGGAAAAGCTATCAGTAGAACTTAATTATTATACACCTAATGAAACATTTAGGGGCAAATGTATGAATGGCTCTAACTTACTTTGAAATGCACCAAAAAACAGAACAATAATTTAAAAGATGTATTAATAATTAGCAGAGCGGGCCGGCCCGTGGCTCACTCGGGAGAGTGCGGTGCTGATAACACCAAGGCCCCGGGTTCGGATCCCATATAGGGATGGCCGGTTTGCTCACTGGCTGAGCGTGGTGCTGACAACACCAAGTCAAGGGTTGAGAATAAATAAATAAATAAATAAATAAATAAATAAATAAATAAATAAATAAATAAAAATAATAATTAGCAGAGGGATGAGATAAGTATGGACGTATGATAAAGAAAACACAATAAAATGATGACAGGCACACAAGTATTCAACTGTAAAATTTATCATGTTTGAAATTTTTCATAATAAAATGTCGGAAGACGGGGAAGCCTGTAGTAATAAGGTCAGTAAGGTGACCAGAAACAAAATAAATATTTTAAACTAATCGCTCTTCAAGACAGTAGTAAATTAGAAGAGAACAAAAAAGTCAAAGATAAAGACACCATTGACAATCACAAAAAAAATTAAAAATCAAGAAGGTAATGAGGGTCAGGGAACAACACACTTAGGCAAATACAGAATCATAACCTGTTCCTAAAAGTAATAACTGCACTTTTTAGTACCAAAATTCTGTCTAAATATATGCATATGCTTAGTGATTCCAGCCATAATGCACAAGTTTGCCTCTTGATGATATACTAACATAGAAATCTTTAAAAACCAATTTTGAAACTAAAAACTTATATTTATGATATGACGTTAAATGGCAAAGCAAAATTTACCATTGTTTCAGCAGTTTATCTGAATTGTGAAAAATCAAGCATAGAAAAATGAAGACTAACTGAAATACAGTATACAAAAGTATTATCAAAAGTCCTCACACAAAAAAATTAAAAATCAAGAAGGAAATGAGAGTCAGGGAACAACACACTTAGGTAAATACAGAATCATAACCTGTTCCTAAAAGTAATAACTGCACTTTTTAAGTACCAAAATTCTATCTAAATATATGTATATGTTTAGTGACTTCAGCCATAATTCACAAGTTCGCCTCTTGATATACTACCACAGAAATCTTTAAAAACCAATTTTGAAACTAAAAACATGATATATTTATGATATGAAGTTAAAAGGCAAAGCAAAATTTACCAGTGTTTCAGCAGTTTATCTGAATTGTGAAAATCAAGCATAGAAAAGTGAAGACAAATTGAAATACAGTATACAAAAGTGTTATCAAAAGTCATCACTGAGTAACGTATTTGGGAGTAAGAGAAATGTTATTTTATTTGTGTCGGAACAAAACGGAAAGAAAATATTTACAAGTCTGTGTGTATACATATATTCATACAGTAAATGTGCAGTAAACTTGCAGGAAGAAGGACAAAAATCTTTATCTTTAATAGGATTCTTACCAGTTTAGACTTGGTTAATCCTTGATCACACCAAAAGCTTCCTATCTACGGCGAGGAAAGGAAGGAGAGATGTGAGAAGCCGCAGGAGATACATAAACTAGTCCTTGCAGAGGGACTCACAGGACTGAGGGACAATGTAACGTTGGAACTTCAACAGACACACCAGCCGGGGTCCCTGAGCCTCCACAGCTTCAGCTTTCACAAGCCTCTTAGCGATGACAGGTCCGGACCTCCGTAAACACTGGCCACGCCCACCTGGAGTAATCCGGAGACCTGGACCACACACCTGGGTTCACCGACCATGAGCCCCGCCCCTCTCATGGAACCGCAGGTTAAATTCCGAATCCGAACCAGGCATCGCTTTCACTGACAAAACCACCCACCATTCCAGCCCTCAGTCACTGAGCCCTACAGACAGAGTCACCCGCAGACACCAAACCCTGAACACCGACGTTCAGTCCTTGACCTCGACAGATCCTTAATCAACGACCACCAGAAAACCTCAGGACTGATTCCAAAATCACCCCCGTCACGGACTCCCGTTTGTTCCTGCTCCCTCCACACGCCCCGCGGCTCCGCATAACACGGACACCCACAGACACCCCTGCCCCGTCCCCCGCATCCTGTTCCACAGAGAAACCCACACAGACCTGACTTTCTCCTTAACCCACCCGCACTTCCTAGAAGCTGCACTTCGATAAATTCTTCCACTTTGGGGCCATCGCTCAGCCTCGGCGCCCACCTACGGCGGCCGGCAAGGATCAGAAGCGTTCGTAGGGAACACGGACAACTCAACTTCCGGCTTTACCCAGGTGAGGTAATATGTCCGCGCCCATCCCGTCACAGATCCGAGGGGGCGGCCATCTTTCAATACTTGACGTACAGGAAACAAAGTTGCCGGATTTTGCCCAAATAGCCAGGGATGGCTCAGAACTGTGAAAAGCCACTGAAACCACCCCATTTTGAAGCACCTTAAGCCCTGTGCCGCTAATTCCATTGATTTTCGGAGGTTGGAGCTTACACAAGACAAACATGTGGTGGGCTACATCCACTTCAGTAAGGAGAAAAATCATCCACTTCAGGCAAAGAATATGGAGGCGACACAGCAGGTGCAGCCATCTTAGAAGGTAGTTTTCCGTACAAATGAAAAACGCTTTCTCAGTGGAGGGAAAAAAAGCAAACAAATGGGAGAGAAGCGATTTCCCTTGGAAGGCTTCTGGCTGCATGTCGAAAACAGGAGGAAGATTTTGAGGACAGAAAAGGGTCTGGAGAAATAACTGCGGTACAAGACAGCGGTCACGCCATCAGAGGGATGTGAAAAAACAGCTACTGTGAGGAACCCAGTTTATCTTTGAGGAGGGACACCGCCCAGTAAAGGGGCAGAGAGCAGTCATGAGCCAATGGGAAGAGGGAAGCTAATAAGGGAGGCGGGACTTTTCTTGCAGGAGACACAGGCTTCCCTTATACCAGAGGTGGAGCCGATAGTAAGGGCGGGGCTTTCTGAGAATCAGAGGCCAGAAATTCTGGATGGAACAAATATAACAATTCCAGGGAGAATCAAATGTTGTTCAAGGAAGTGTTACCGGACTCAGGTCCGGCTGCCCGCCCCCTTGAGAAGGAAAGAAAAAAACCTCAGAAGTCAAACAGTTGGTGTTAGAAAAGCAGATGTATTCAGCTGAAGGAGATGGTAGGCTACCCCATCTCAAAGATTTACATTTACTGAGGGGTTTTTAAAGGAGGGCTTGAGGGAATGGAATGTGGGAGGTGAAAAGCAGGAGAGCAGGAGATGTAAGTTGAGGGGTCCATTTCTATGGGTCAGGTACAAGGTCTTGCCAAGGCCTCATCTGGTTTCTGTTCTCATCTTTGCTGTTATCTCAGGACCCTGCAAGATTTTGATTTACACCAGTGTACTTGGCTGGTGCCCAAGGTCAGCTTCCGTCATTTGGCCTTGACCATTTCTCAAAACTCTACAAGTCTTAAAGAAAGAACTGTTAGCTCTGCAAAGTACTAATTAGCTTCTCGGCCTTGTTTTCCTACTTAGCAAGTGAGATAAGAAACTCAGGGGATGGGAAGCAAGAGTGGAGAGAAAAAAACTGTCCTTTTAAAAATACTCCCCTCTTTGCAGCCCAGGCAGCTTTAGGTCCCAACATGGCTTCAGTCCTTCTCACTGCAACAGAAGGAAAAGTAATGGATCATGGCATACTACATGACTGAATTATAAATAGTATTTACATAGTCATCATAATGTAAATTCTACATCTGATCCTACCAAGATCAAGATAGAACTCTATCAGAAGAATAAGAAGGAAGTTCCTCTGTGCAATGGGGTGTGTGTTTATAAGAGAGTTGTTTTTGAAGCCTCCTTCATGATAAATCTATAGACAATGCCCCCAAATGAAAAATCTATTTCAGCACTACATGCATATTATTTAAAATATCAAAACTGTGAAAAGAATAAAACCCTCACAAAACTATTTGACTCCTTAAGAGGATTGCAAAATGAAAGGAAGAACCCTATTGTGAGGAAAATGAAGTTAGCCCAGTCAGGCCCTCTTGCCTCATATCCAGCTGGGTATGATTCAGCACATCCATTGTAAAGAAGTTGTGTGGTAGTAGAGTTAGTGGACATCGGTGTCATTTACCCTTTTGGCTCATTGCTGGTAATGTGTAGTCTTTGATATGGAAGGCCACCTCTCTGAACTGCTGGTCTGTAAAGCTTGTGTCTGAAAATAAAGCATGTTCACTTTACCCATGGCAACTGTTGTTGACCAGTACCTGAGGGGAGATGGTGAGAAATGAAGAAAGATATGATTTATTTTATGGGATCTGGAGTACCTGGCAGTCTGCTGACCTGTAAGGCCTTATAGTTTATTTTGGGTTCCTTTTTATAAGCCAGTGAAGATAACAAATCATACTGATTAAATCAATTATATTTGTTACCAAGCAATTTATAGGAAATTTTCAGTTGCCACAGCACTTGAAGATTCATAGCTAACTACTTATCAACAAAATAAGAACATAACTTTCTCATTTACAAAGCTTTCAGGGTCCTGGGTTCAATCAAAGGTCAGATCTCAAAGGGAGGAAAAAGGGGGAAGAAGGCAAAAGGGATGCCAACCTTTCTGCCTTCCCTAGAATAGCAAGGACTTTGTCAGCTTACTTATTCAGTACCCCATGTTTCCCCCTTCTCTATTTTGGATGATGATGACCCCAGGACCTCCCATCTGAAGCCATTAGAGTGTTGCTGCAATTGTTGGTTGCTACAATGGAGGCAGACTGAAAAGCACAAAAAGGCAAATACAGAAGCAATTGTAAAGGCTATTAACAAAAACAATATCTACTGTACAATGTACAAGGGATGCAACTGAGACAGATTCATTGTTTACAGGAGATATTATAACCATTACCATGGGGTGTTATTTCAAAATTTCCCATAAGTAGCATATTGGGAGGACCTACACAGGAGCATGAGCCATAGGAAATCACAAGACTTTGAACTTGATCTATGATAGATACAGTAACAATACTCAATGAAGCAAACAGTCTTCACAAATCAAGATGGGCTGTACCCTGAATTGTATACCATATACTAGTCATCCAATGACCTGGGCACCACCCAGTTGGATGGCAACTGGAATTCTAGGTGACAGTGAGACCAGTCCCATAATGCCTTCTCATTATCTGAAGAAAACCCAACATGGTTATGCAATACAGGAATGAGATAATTAACATTCCAGCCAGTGGGGGTGTTTGACAGAAGGCTGTCCATGTTGATCCACACAGGAAGACAGCCCCGGGGGGGGGGGGGGGGGGTTGGGGGGGGGGGTTTCTCGTGGAGACGAAAAGGGGGGGGCCCCCGGGGGGGGGGGGGGG